ATACTTTCTGTTAAACAGCAAAACATTATTGAAAATATAAGAAAATATAAAAACGCTATGAACTTATTCCCCAACCTAATAAATACCGATTACGTTTTTCTTTGATATTATTTACCTTCCAGTTCATGAGGTAGCCGAAGCAATGAAATTATGACCAATGCTAAGGTTTCACCAATAGCAACCGTTCGCTTGGAGAAAGAAAAATGATTCAGTGCCATGGAGAGATGGTTATGCTTCATGGTTGAGTTTTAAGTTAGGTTTCTACTAACATTTACGTTTAACGTTTACCGTCATTCCAGTGGTTAATTCTCTGCATAATCAAGACCTTATAGGAAGATGGTTGTGTTAATTTCATAATTTATCAATAGATTAAGATTTTTACTAATCTGTTCGCCCAAATAGGTTTACAGTAACATTATAAAAGCTCTTTTATCATTTCAGCATAATGATCTTTTCCCCTGATGCTGAGACTGAATTTGAATTACTTCAGTACCCCACTTTATGAGCATGCTGTTAACATTTAGCTTTAAATACTCTTCTGATACTCCAATTCAAAACTCACGTGTTGCCTGCATATTCTATTGTTACAGTATTACAACATATTCAATCGCTTGATTATCAGCAAACGCGCGTGCGTGGCTGCTAGAGAGGTATGTCCTACGAGATTTCATTCACGGAGGGACTACCATACGATTGTACTTGCCCTGTGTGTGAGCAGGTAATCTATGATTCTCAGCTCACACCATCATCTTATTACAGACGTGCACATGACATCTGTTTATTGTCTTTTATGTTTTAGGCTCTCCGCGCTCCTGTGGTGGCAGATTGCGGCCATAATTTCTGCAAGCAATGCGTCAACGCTGAAAATGGGTTAGCATAGCCCTAAAGAACAGATACGCCATATTTATAATGCTTTTAGACCTGTGCCATGCCCTGTTTGTCAAACAGAAATTGCTGTAGATTCTCTCAAAGCCAATAAGGCTAAACATCGTCAGGTTTGCCTCGCATTGCTACTTGATGTCGGACCTTTGTTTTATGTTGACCTAGTTTTAGAAGTTTGATGGCATAGTGTTCAGGTGCAAGCGCTTATTGTCAAATGCCCGTTCGTTTATGATGGCTGCGACTGGACGGGGCCGCTCAAGCTGATGAAGGTAGTTAATGAAGCGGTCTAGGAGACCGTCTTAGGAAATTTGGTCAAAGTATCTTCTATATAGCCAGGATACGAATATCTTCGAAATTGCCATTTTTATCCGCAACAAATATTGAGCTGCAGTATAAGTCTTGTCGTTTTTTTTTCATTTTGAAGAAATTCTTTGAAAAGAAGCAACCCATTATACGCACTTGAAAGAAGAAGCCTTACTCTACAAAACGGTGTATGTCTTAGTTGGTTTCATTTGCTAAATTAGAAGTGCATGATTTTGAAAGTTTGAAGGAGCAGGAAAAACAACCAAAAGTTACTTAAGTTACTTTTTGGAATGCAGAAAGCTTGAAAACTATAATGCTCCTCGTAAGGTGATTGGATACGCAGATTGCAAAAATTATCCACTCCCACTAGTTTCTTATTGTAAGATCAAGGTAAATGTAGTACGAGTAAAAATCAAGGATTTGTCTAAAATTGGTCTAAACTGCGGTTAACTGACATACTGAACACAATTATCACACAATAAGCCTCACTTTAGAGTTGGGGTAGGTAAGGGAAGTTCAGAACTATCGATCTACTAAAAAAGTGACTCACTTTTTGTCTACCGTGCGAATTGTCCATAGCATGGAAAATAGGATTGATTTTCAAGATCGACATTCCAAAAGCCCAGTAGACCACTTTTCAGGCAAATCAGTGATTATGACAGTCTATACCTCAGGCCTCGGCACGAGGTCTCCGATTGAACCTTACGAGAACGAATACCGCTTGGAAATCCAGGAAATTACGAAATTCCCTCTGTAACCTGTACAAAGGCATGCAATCAGGACAAGCACTGCAGTGCTGTATACTTGAAGCGCGTTTTCTTGTTTAAGGTAAAACAATTTAGGGCCCTAGTAAGAAAGAGAAGAATTTTGATCTGGTTATTGCGCTGTAAGTTGGGTCAGGGGTGCACAAAAAATGTTTCTTATAAGGGACGCAAAATTATGAGAAACAAAAAAGTGTTTGCTAATCGGAGACCTAGGGTCTCCCGTAGGTTTCTGCCGGAGACCTAAACCACAACAAGGCATGGCGATTTTTTCAATCTCATAATATTTCAAAGATTTCTCAAACAATTCTTCTGCTCTTTGTTGCGCATCTTTACGCCGATTTTGATGGCTGTTCATTGCCTATTCACTCAGAAAAAAGGGCTAATCTAAATGTTTGAAACTTTTTTTAAATTTGCGCAAACACCCTTATCGAAACTAACATTGCACCTTTACTGGAGCAGGTTTTTGAAC